ATTTAGTGTATATCGACAGAATTACAAGTTAAAAACTAACGATGCAAATGTAGTTTCAATGTGCAGCGATCGCAATTTATGTAATTAAAAGATTTATTGAGTTGTCAGGAAGATTGTCGACTTCTGAAATTATAAATTCGATTCTTTTGTGATGATGTGTAACGTTTTCTTGAAATATTCTAGGAGATCGTTGCCTTTTAATTTTGCTGGATATTTCAGAACGCTGTGCAGTGGTTTAAATCTGCGCGCGGCTTTTACTGAATTGAGAAATGCGTGCGCCGTTCCGCTTCAGCCAATAGCGTTGCAGCACAGCGTAGTTTTGGCGGGCAATGGCATCAGTTGCGTATCGGAAAGCTTAGTCTTCGGGTGCATTTGACATTTGTGATTTCAACTATGCAATATGTGGTTCCATTGCTACTCTGTTACTGTTTATCGACTACCAACAGGTTCGTGTGAATACGTTCTTATTTAATACTTTATTAGACACTACCATGATAAAATTGAGTAGTTTTCCGAACTTTTCCCTTTGACTGTCTATTTGAGTGTCAAAGTGTTATCATCAGTTTTTATGAGAGAACTTGAGCTTGATTACTGCTGTATTTTAATATAATTGGTTTCTCTTGTGTAGGTTATTGATTTTGCTGAAATTGTGTTTCGGAAGAATACGGTTCGTGGTCGCTATAATGATCGAATTACTTCGACGATTTTGCCGTGCATGTTTGGTAATGTACGATTTATTGTATGACATAATCGAATGTATTCGTATTATCTTTTCATTGAATTTGTGAGTGATATTTAGTATACAAGTGCTATATGTGCAAATTATTATACGTATAATTTATTGAGAATATTAGAATTAAATTTTATCGATAAGATTCTCGAAACTCGTATGAACGCCTCTAGCGGCCATATCGCGAAAGCTATAAAGCTTCAAAATTATTTTACAGTGTAGGTGAAAGCAAAGAAACGATGTAGTCATATTGAAATTATAAAAATGATTTCGAATCGAAGTCAAATACAGTCTTCATGATTTATTTTAAATGACTTAGTTTATCATGATTTAGTTTAAAGAACCTTGGTTTCTATTGGTTGAGTCGCAAAAAACAGCGGTATTTTTGTAAACACGTTCGAGAGGAAAGAGATTATCCTTTTTCTTATTCCTCTCTCTCTCTCCTATAATTTTACTTGCAGCGAATGTGACACACAGTGTGATCAGTAAGTCAATATCTACTGTATAAATTCTAATATTGCATTCATACGTGAAATTAGAAACAATGTTTGTTCGTTAAACTGTAATTTAAGCGATAGTCTTTTATTTTTAATTGTTTTTTTCCTTTTTTTGAATTTTTCTTTTTGGTATTAGATTCACAGAGAATGAAGGTACAGAGTCACATGAATATTTTTATCACTGGTACTACCGACAGAAAAGTATAATATTTATAGCAAAGAAATGAAAATGCAAGATACAAGAGAAAGTTAATAATAGAATACAAGCACACAAAAATACACTGTGTAGTAATACAAAAATACAAGCTTCTGTTGTAATATGATTTTATTAAAAATCACTCGAGTATTTGAAGATACACTGTTATAAATATATAAAATCTCCATAGAAGATTATAAATTAGTCATTTTGACTACTTTGGCACTACTTACATAGGTACTTATATAAGTTAAATGGCACACTCTCTATATTAACTTGAGATGCAAATGAGGTATTCAAGTTCAACAGGGTGAAGTAGATAAATTAAATTAACGTTAAAATTAAAATTAGATAACAAGATATTTGTAAGCTATGTTAAGTCATGGCCTGGATAAGTTAATTTTAAATTAAGTTCAATTTATAATGAAGCTGGTTATAATTTAAATAATTAACGTAATGATTGTAGGTAATTTTTAAAATAGATGTGATCAAATTCAGAATAGGTGAATTAGGTAGACCAGTTCAAAACAAAACAAAAGGCAAAGCGTTACATCTAGATAACTTTTATTAACCAATATAATCGTATATTGTTACAAATGACGGCGGCCGAATGTGGTGGCCGCCCCAACGGATTACAATGAAACGGCGTGTTTAACGTTATACAATTAAAATGGGAATCGATGAATGAGCGAATTTTTACGAATGTTTACGGTCGTATTCGTCGCTATTCGACTTCAAGAAACTGCATACACGACAACATGTAATTTGTAGAAGTTTTATCCGTGTGTCTTGCGTATTGAAACGTTACTCTAACCCCACTGTCTGCGTAAAATCTCCGGTTTGCCACCTCCTCGTATTTATCGTATCTATCTGATAGAGTGGTGAGTATGTCGGTTGTGCGCGCGTTATTGTGTACGTGTACAAACTGTAATTATGCTCGAAGACATCGAAAACTCACTACGTAATGTTAAATGACGACGTGTCGCGGATTTGCCTTTGGTGTTTGCGCTCTCGCTATCTTTTTTTTTTCTTTTTTTTTTTTCTTCTTCAATCGTTCGTTCGAAACAATTACGCAGGAGCGCGCGTTTGCATTCTAATTGTTCCTCTCTACTATAATTCCTCGCAATTCTGTATCCGTAATTACGCGTCGTGCCCGATCCAAGAGCCTGCTGCAGCTCCGAAAACGGAATATTCCCGGAATATTCTCCACGAGCTTTTCTCCGGTTTCCAAGCAAATCCGCGACTCATTAATTAGGCTTACGGCTACTATCGAGATACTGATGTACATACACAAGAACCATGATTCCTCCTTGTTCTCTAGAACACGGGCAGAGTATACAAAGACGTTGTTTGCCGAATAAAAACGTGTTGCTTGCACGCGCACCGTTGCTCAGTCACTCGCGTAAAACGCATTCCACACACGCACTCGTACACGCACTCTCGATAAACGCTGGAAAGGTATTGGCTTCGTCTTTCGCTCGAAATGA